AAGACGTAAAGATTTAGATGTATAGATTTGGAGATACACATAGATACATACAAGATTAAGACTTATAGAAAGGACGTAGACGTATAGCGATAGGAAAAGTTTGAAGCTTTTTCTCTATCGTTTCCCACCGAAACGATAAACTGGATGGACTCATCCAGAGTTTGCTTGCGTTTGGAATGTCTATCGGATTCTACTTGTATTAGGTCCTAGGCAATTAATTGGTGGTCTCGGTTTTAGTATACTATATGCGTTAATAGCTGACTGGGGTGGCTCATTTTACGCTCAAATATGGGGTCTATTGATGTTTAAAACTTATGCAATATGTTACCTTAATGAACAATTTCATCTAGTTCATTGTCTTCGATATTTTATTTCAACTTCTCGTGATGATTCAAATTTTTTCAAATTATTTTCCTATTAAATAACTAATAGAGATTATTAAAAATATTGATTATATCACTTGTGGTTTAATGGATAGTAATTTAGTATGATAGTTATCGTTTTCTATCTGCTCTCGTGAGCTTGACTGATAGACTACTTCAATTGAAGGATATTTTTGCAAGAAACGAAAACTGTTTGTGTGAGAAATTAGATCGTACTTTTTTTATGGTTTCACTTCTTGTCTTGATCTGACCTCAGATTCGACCTATAATACTTATTTTTTGTCAAAAAAAGTACAAAAATATTCGAAAACATATGTTCTCCACTGTAGATGATATTCATTCATCATTAGACAGAATATTTTCAATGAGTGGCGTCATGGCAATTGAAAAAATATTCCAGTGCATAATTACTACAAAGTACTTGTTTTTCCCGTCTTTAATTTGTATGTGCATCATCATCAAGAGTCATTATCTTGTGAAATCATACAGTTGGATTTATGTTGATGCAACAGTTCTTCAGTGATTCCAGTGAACGTGTTCATCATAGGATTGGAAACATTTTCAAAAGCCTATGAAATTTAATTTTTCTTGTTTAATAGTCATATATTCTTTGATTCTGGTTACATCAAGGGGGAAAAAGCGGATTCGGTCTATCCGGGATACAGTCGCGATCCAGAGGATCCAGAGGATACGAAGGATCCAGAGGATACGAAGGATCTAGCGACGATACAGAGGATACAGAACATAAGATCATAACTAGGGGCGGCATTTCAATTTTTGAAAACACTTTAATAGAGTATGAAAGTTTAAATTAATGTTTTAAATATTAAATGTTAAAGTTAAGGACATTTTAGCTCTCCTGTAAAGTAATGTCTTGGACTCTTTTGGTCCATTATGGAGGGCTATTCAGGATATCTTCAAGTCTACTATCAAGGACTATCTTGAGGGTGTGGGTGTGGGTGTGTTGATGTGACTGTGTTCGTAACTCAACCACACCCACACCCACACCCCATAAAGAATTTACTCTCGATTTTTTCTTATCTCATTATGATATTTTTCATTTAATCAATTTTAATCAATTGGGAACAATACTTGATAAATAAGAATTCATTCATTTTAAGATGAATTTAAGTAGTTTAGAAAAATTTGTCGAATCACAAACGCAATAGACATACATTTAATCAATACTGTCATTTTGTAGATGGTAGATCTTTTAAGATTTGTTTCTTTTATTGTTTAAATCAGTATTCGAACTTTGTGAATAGATCTTCTATGGTTCACATCTATTTTGGTTTCTATTATCGGATTTTTTCACGGACAAATGTTTTGCAAATATTTGTTGAATATGTTCGACAAAGTAGTAGTCATATATTTTCGAAATTAACATTGATAACTGGTGCAATGGATATTTTATATCATATTACAACAAAGTAATGAGGTTATAGATCGTTGATCTAAATTTTTCTGTCTTTTCGATTAGATCGAAATGGCTTGTCATATTTGATAATGATGCTATAAACTGGATGTTTTTCTGAATACTCGGTTGAGAATGTACATCGAGACTACTAATTGAGTATGTCTTGGAATTATCACTTAGGCTATTGAAAATTTTCATGAAGGCGTAAAGAAGCATCATTAGGATTTTTATGACTCATACTTTAATACGTTCATTTTCTCAAATTTTCTTAAAATGTAATATTATCAATGAAAAGTACGATTTCAACATCAAATCGTCGACAAGAAATGGTAAATCTAGTCTCTTTTACAAGAATGACTTGAAACAATTAGAACATCTTTTCATTTCGTTGAGAAATTTCTGGTTTTATAAAGATATTGAAATTCATTTTACATCCTGTGCATTAACATCAGTTTCTATCACCGATGACGATGATTCTGGCCGTGATATATTATTTTCATCACAAAATAGACTAGAAAAAGCACAATTATTGACGATTATGTTTGATGAAGATGCATGTAGTTTATTTATTAATTTTTATTTATCCTCATTTAGTGAAGTAAGAATAGTAATTATTTTTCTTGCCATTTTATTACTTCAGGTTTTTCATTTTATTAGAATTCAATTGTGACTCTTCCAGAATTAATATCGGGTGTGAGGTTCATAGTTGTTATTTATTAAAATTGTAGAAGCGATATCAACATAGAAAATTAGAGTGGGAATATATTTGATTTATTCCAAAGCTATTCTAATTAAGAAGTAAAATGATTTGTTTTCTTTTATATTTAGTTTTCTTGATGTTATTATTAATGTATCAATGTTTTACTGAAGAACAAACTAATTCACTTAAAAGTGTCGGTAAAAACGTCTTGCTCAAACATCTTCATCTGCTATTTTACAAAGGCAAGCTCTTTTGATTCTTCAACGAGTAAAACAAAAATTGTAGCTGAACATAAGTTTTTTCTATACATAAAAGCAATTTGTAGATATAAAGTATGACTTTCAAAGAGATCTAATCAAACGTTTTGTTTAGCTAAATGTATTATAACGATCATGTTACATGTTCGTTCGAAAACGCCAGATACAGCTTATATTGGACGAACGACATTGATTGTTGATGCTCGAAAGGTAAACATTTGAATCTATTTTTGATATGTACTATCTTTAATATTTCAAGGGAAAAGTCGCTGTTCGAAGTACCAATGTATTACCGGCTTTACTCAAAGTCAAAACTCAACAACGGAACAAAGAAAATCTGTTGTGCTACCCATACTCTATCAAATGTTAATCAATTATTAACAGAAGCTTAAATCTTATGATAGAAGAGTCCTTTCTACGCTTAGAAGTAGAAATAAACATAAAAATGAAAACCAAGAAACATTTTAATAGAACTCGAACAGTCAGTTTCTATATTTTTACAAAAAACATTAAAGAGCAAGTAATGAAAAATATGAAGTATTAATGTGTACTTCACGTCAAGGTAAACAGATTTCAGCTTGGTCAAGATTCAAAAGATCTATTTTATTTGTATGTTAAGTAGTTTTCGAAATGAAATCTTCTCGCAAGAAATAAGCAGCATTGTTTCCTCAAATGAGTTTAACAGCAATACATAAATCCCTTTTCTTTTATAGTGGCAGCCTTTATCCGTTACTTTCTCAACTAAATATAAAAGTAAAACTATTTGATGGCTAATACTGCTACGACGGCGAAGTACTTTTTTAAAAGTACATAAAAGCATATTTGAAATATTTCTACCTTCTCCAACACTACTTAAGAAAAGATCGATGACATGTATAAAATGAATCTTTGCTCGTTTTAAAGAGAATACTAAAGCTAATAAAATTGATATCATGAAATCCTATGTTTAGTTCGACGTTTATATTCGATTAATGTAAAAAATTGAAACGAATACAAATAGATAGCAGAAATACTGTTAATGGATCTTACATTTGTCGCTTAAGTTATCTGATTGTATGAAAATGATGTCAACTGCCATGTGTGGACATCGTCAATTTAACAATCAATTGTTGATTTCATTTGCATATTAGATGTTTTATCATCAAGGGATATAGTCAAATGAACAAACGCACCTATTCAAAAAGTTATTTGTTGGATGTGGGTACTCTCATTGATTCGAAACCCACACCAGCAAGCACGTGCACATGATATTGATATATATGAAGATAAGAATTTAAACAAAACAAAACTTGATATCTATTGATTCAAATTGTTTATCGATCAAGATTCTTGTCAAAGATAAACATCGTTATCAACAATTATTTCAACAAAAATTACCATAGAATGCAATGGTATTTAGAAAATCAATTTTTTAAATAATAATTGGCGAAAAAACCAACTTGGACTGTACTATTTCCTAATAGTATTAAAATCGCTCTTCAACGTACACAATATTTAAGTAAATTAGAGGAATCTTAAAATAACTTTCATTGTTTACTTAAAGTAATTCATTTGATGTATTCACACTATTTCTACTTTAATCTGTTTTCTAGTATCTATTTCATATTGAAAAATTCCTACAATTCTTTTACAAAAAAAAGAAGTATTCGAAATTTTACTTTATTATAACCATATACAAAGTGTATCTTCATCTGTCGAGTTAGGAACTTCTGTTCGAAAAGAACGAGTAATTGAATTCTGTAGATTGTGTAATTCTTTCTGATAAAGTTTACCATATTTGATCCAGCCCGTTATTTCAAGAAAATTTTATTTCGAAAGGCCGCTGATAAGTGTATGTGGCATTTTAACGAGTTCATCGTTACTATCAGTTAGTTCTATGATTCGTTCGACGATTAAATGGGCAATATTTTTCAAAATCGGCTGATTCCAATAAGTAGAAAGATTGAGTTGTCGTAATCCATTAGACAAAAGCATATTGCATAAAGAAGCATCGCTAAGGAGATCGATTAAAGTTTCCTCGTTTAAACCAATTTTACTATCATATTCTGATTGGCAATGCGGTTTTAGAGTACGCAGATAAGTCAGTTGTGAAAAGAGACAGTGAAGCTGAATTGAATTGAATGGTTGAGCAATACTAAGCGATGTAACTTGATGCCAAGAAAATCATCGTTGATTTGATCATAAATGTCACTCATAAGAATCGTATTGCATTGAAGAAAATGACTGTTCAAGGCACGTCTATCGAATGACCATTAACTGTGTCTAAATACAAAAGAAAAATGTCCGTCATTAAAAAACAAAAATGTTAATTTTATAACCATGCACACTATTACGTAGATAATAACGGACACACATAGATTTCTCCATTCTTGGTAATGTCACAGCAATAATATAATACATATTTTCTCTGAAACATAGTTTCAATTCAATTGGCACTGGCCCTTTGAGTGCTTCAAACATGTTGGATAAGATTTTATTTGGTTCTAGTGGTATGATTACAGTTTTCACAAACCAGTTAACATAGAACGAATATAAACATTGACAGGAAAGTATCGATAGTAAGTTGTGAAGAACATAGGGAGAATTCACTTGTGCCGCTAATATGAAGTTCGTTAGTGAAAATAAAACATCACGTTCAAATAATTCATTAATTGATTTCACATTCATGATACATTCATTCCATTTTATATTAAGATAACGTAGATTCGAAGCAACTCGACTAAAATGGATTAACAAGATCATTCAACTTTCTATATATTTAAAAAAAATATCATTTACAATTATAATTTCTTATTGTTTAATCATATGTCAAAAGCACGAACGAACAAACATTTCATTCAGTTAAAATCTTTCCATAATGTAATCGCGTCTATAATCATACTTATTTCGAAGATTTTTTATCTTTCAAATCAAATACATCTTCGATATGACTTTTTTCTGATTTTCCGACTAAACTACTTGCCTGCTGTTTAGTATTTAACAAATCATATTTCTGATAAAGTTATGAGAAAAATCCAAAAGAAATCACATAATAGAAATAAGTCTCGGTAAATTTTCTTAAAGGGGGGGGGGGGGGGGGGGGGGGGGGGGGGGGGGGGGGGGGGGGGGGGGGGGGGGGGGGGGGGGGGGGNCCCCCCCCCCCCATTTTAACGACCAATAAGTTTAAATCTCAAGTCTTAAATAAATGCTCATCGTTTTGACTGATTTTCTTATATGGATTGCCTGCATTTCAAAATCTAATAAATCAATCATTTCTATTGCATAAACTATTTGACTCAAACACTGAATACGAAATCTATCTTTTCAGTTCATAGATAATTCAGTTTTAGCTTCAATTTCTAATAAAATGATTAGATCCATTCTCTTTTTCCATATACTTTACAGTAAGTTCATCAATTAAAAAAAGAAAAGATACATATATAATATTAAAGAAAGAAATTTACTTGTTATGACCGTGTTCCAGTGGATGTTTAGGAAGTAGCCAAGGAGTACACCGTTCAAAGCTGAGCGTTTCCAATAGTGGAAGATGCTCAAATAAATATGATAGAAAGCGTGGTGAGCATTGTCGAATTACAAGTGATTGTAAGTTTAAAAGATTAGTTTGAATAGGCACACAAGTTCCATCAAGTGGTAGAACGAGTTCAGTATCTAGAGTATAAAATGTATGTATTTCCAAAAATGCAGATGGCATGCACGTAATGAAGGAAATAAGTGAAAAATTCGTTCATATTACGCAGCTTCAATTGCTGGAAATTGTATATTAAATATGATGAGAGAATCAATTCAAAAGAAGAACGTTTAATGTCAATTAAAGATAAATGACGAAGATTGATAAATGTAGATAACATGTTCAACTAACCATAAACCATTATCAATAGCTAATGTATCTGAGCCACATAATGAAATAAGATGATTACAAATGTTTGGCTGTGATAAATATCTATAATAAAATTCGGTTAATGCTATACTCATGCCATTGAAACCCAAGTAAACGGACAGCAATGGCATTGAATTAAGTTTCGAAAAAATATTGAATACTTCATGAAATTGAAAGTAAATAAATACTTCATAGGTCAACGTATGTACATTTTGTGCTTTCTTTTTTTCTCGATTCTTTTTTTTTCTAATAGCGTTTTTGTAAGAGTTGACAATGAAATTTATCCGATAGTTCATGAATTATCCTCCCTAATTTAATCGTACAGCATAAAAAGCTAGATTATATTTAAAAAAACGAAGTTTATAGAATGGTAAAAAGTAGAAAATTTTTATGAATGTTCATGCTCAATAAGCAGCGGATTTTACAATAGCAGCATAGTTCCTAGTCGAATAGATAAATTTAAAGAACAAAATTTCACCGATAAATATAAGTGCAGAGAAAACAATTCCACAAATGAGACCAGCTGTTGCCACACTACCAAGACCTTTTTCACCTCCTATGAAATATAGAAAAATAATCGTAAGCTACTGAGTGCAAGAAATATAACAAGAAGAATAATTACCTGGTTCAATTGATTTTGTTGTTGTTGTTGTTGTTGTTGTTGTTGTTGTTGTAGTCTGAGTAGTTGTAGTAGTAGTTGAATTCATAGTCGTAGTCGTAGTCGTAGTCGTTGTAGCAGTAGTTTGAGCAGTTGCGGTAGTATTCGTGGTCGTTGTACTGCTAATAGTTGTTGTTGTGATAGTAGTAGTAGTAGTAGTAGTAGTAGTAGTAGTGGTCGTTGTTGTTGTTTCAAATTTCAAAGGGGTTTGCAAGCTACATGTCGTAATATTTTGATTACAAAAAGAACTGGTACAAACACATTCATAAAAAGGTATCGCCGCTGGAGTTATATAATTGAAACAGGCGCTACTTTGCGTTTCATTGTAAGAACCTACCGAGACTAAATTTACTAAAGTATTTACTTGATAAACTTTTTCAGAAAGATAAGTTTCGTAGCTTTCGCCGATTAAGGATTCTTGTGTTGTCGTAGTTCCACTGATTGTGATTGCACATAATACACTATTATCTCTGGCATAATCTTTACACTGTGGAATGTTGATAAATGGATGCATGCTACATGTAAAATTTCCATTGAATGTGGCGTTGCATGAAACAAGCGAAGTTAGATTCGGCATGAAATCTGTCGATGCCACCATACTCATAGTAGTATTAGCTGAATTTTGACAAGAAGTTAAATTTTGGTAACAATTATCGGTTGCACAAACACAAAGATCCATAGATGTGTACGTTTCGTATGGGAGTGTTCCGTCACAAATCCAAGCACCGGTATCTGCTAGTGACCTAGACACAGTAACGTTACAAGCCTTTTCAGTTAATCGACGAAATGTATTCATATAACGAAGACTATTGTATACTACAGATGATATGTCTTATATTCCACTCTGATTCCGATAGGTCCGAATAGCACAAAACTGAAAACTAGTGGGTGTTAAATCAGATGTCAAATAGCAGCTTATATCCCGTGTAACAATAATATTCACCACACTTTGACGAAAAAAGCCATCTACATATATATATATATATATAAATCCCATATTAAAAAAAAGGTCGAAAAATCTGATTAATTTTGATTTTGCACAGAAAAATCGATTAAAACAGCTACTATTAGATTAGTTTCACTACAGCACTCCATTAAAACAACTTTTCATGTGCGCTAATCAATTCAAATCAATTTTAATCAGAAAAGTCAGCTTAATGAATTAGAAATCGGCTTAATTTTAATAGATTCCTAGAATAATCAATTCTAATCCATTTCTTTGACAAAATCGAAATAATCGCATAGAAATCGAATCGACTTTTTATCGATTCCTAGAACAAATTTATTCAAATATGTTTTCCTCGAATAATCAATATATTTGATTGGAAATAAAATCTATTATTTTCGGAATAATTAAAGACAGCAATTTGAAGGAAATATAATAGTCTATTGCGCAACGCAGTACTCGACTTTCCTAAAACATGAGGGATAATAGGAAAGCACACACTTCTAGATTGCTTATCTAAGTCGTACGATTCTTTCGGAATATAAAAAAGTACCAAAATAGGGGTGTGTGGTGTCAGGGTGTGGGATGTGGGTTTGCAATACGACTGTAACTGATAACCCGTTGTGTTTATCCATCCTCACCCACACCCTATTTACAACAAAAAATTTATTCTTCTATTGGTTTGCAAATATAGACAACCGTTACAAAGGCACATAAATACGGCACTCATTTTAAGCTCAGTATTCTGAATACTGAGCAGTCACAAAAATTATGATAGATGAATCATCTAATGAATAATTAATCATAATTTACACAAATTTGACACAGTGCTTGCTACAATTATCTAACAATAAATCGAGGTATCGAATCAATGAATGAAGATTATCGTAATGAAATTATGTTGGGAAATTTCAATACATATCTCAATAAAATATGTTTCTATACTTGTTATTCTCTCAAAAACATACATATTATGTACTAATCTGAGCATTTGAAACGAGTTAGCGTGCCTACGAATATTATTCATTAGTAACGACGAAAGTCTTATTAGTGATCAGATAAATAAACAAGAGAGAGAAAGAGAAGAAAAAAGCAATGTTGTTCCCGTAATTACATCGATTGGCGGACCCCTTCGGCACGCTCAGCAATACCATTACTGACTCTTATTTTAAAATCGAATAAGAAAATATTGTTGAAATCTGACGCCACCAAAAGTAAGCACCATACATTAATAGGAATATCCATTCTCAATCAAAGTATATCTATTTCAGAATAGTTTAACTAATCACTGTTCAAAGACTATTCAAATGGAATACTGCACAAGTCGTCCAGTTGCGAAATACATTGAAGTTGGATCCAATGGTGGCACCATTTTTGCATCACCGACTGTACCATCATTTATTGAAAGTGCATTTATCAAACCATACTATCCGATACGAAGTACACGATCGATAAATAATGAATACAGAACCTTCGATCGTCCGTTTCGATTGGAAAATCGGAGTGAGGATCGAAACTTTGATTCCATAACTGATAGATATTCTTTTTCAGGCAGATCGTATGACTACAATACATTTTCACCAGAAGAATTCTATCGTACTTCAAATCAAGAGTATGGTGCTTATCCACCTATGATACATAGTTTGCCACCCATCTATCGACCACTCAGGCATACTTTCACGGATGTAAGACTGCATGAGCTATTATCTAACTGTAATAATCATTATTTGATTTTTGAAGATGCTAAAAACTGGACAAGAACATCATCATCTTCGAAATTTTAAGATGAGCACTGACAATTTACCATCGATATGGGCACCTCGTGGAGCGCTACCAATATCAATTGGTCGAGGAAGCTACGTCAGACATTCTATGCGCCCAGTTTTCAAATAACAGGAAAAAAACTCCGTCATACGCTTTTTAGCATATTTTCAGTAAAAAAATGGGTTACATGAATTTCAGGCGACGAAATTTTCGGATCGAAGTTTCGAACCAATTGTAAACAAATTCATTGAACCCTGAAAAAGAAATCGTAATTTTGTAAAAATTGGTTTCTAGGTTTATTAGTGCCGAGAGAAGCGCCATAGTGCTGAGAACAGTGATGCGGGTGTAGATCAAAATATATTGACTTTGTCAGTCACGAACGATAAGTGGTGAAGAATGCATGAAACAACACGTTTATGAATTATGCAAACAAAGAGAGAACGAATACATTAGATCACAATAGAATAATTATACAGAGAAGAAAACTGATCAAGAACAAAAAAATTATTTTCATGAATTAGATAGTGTATTTAAGGAGAATTAAACGATTTCAGAGAAATTTGCATAAATGGACTTCCGATGTCACTAAAGACGACGTTATTATTTGTCGATAAACATCTTAAAACATCATTCGGAACATTTGGAGAAATTCAATAGACAGGCATGTTACATTTCAACAAGTACAAATACGCATCTGTTCGCTTTCAACTTCAAGATTGTGAATTCACGCAACCTATTATATTCCGTAAGACACCTATTAATTGAACAAGACATGTCCTTGATTGTGAAATATCTAATCCCAAGTGCTTTTACTCTTTTCCTCTACTGACATAGAAAGATAATTATGCGAATAAAATTTTCTTAAGAAAACATCATTGAACCTGTAGTATATAAATAAACAGCTTAGAACGCTATGACGCTCCACTCGACACTAAAAAATCTAGAAACCAATTAAAAAATTAATTAGAGATTTTTCAGGGCTAAATGAATTTGTCTAAAAATTGGTCTGATAGTTCGGCCCGAACATTCCGTAGTCCGAAAAAGAGGCGGCGCCAGGAATTCAGACTAGGGTGGATTCAGACCCTCTGAATTTTTACCAGGGCGGGCTTGAACTACCTTAGTTTTGAAAAGCGAAAAACATGATTGGAAAATTTGTCGAATTTTTGGATTAGTCAAAACTGTTTCTTATTCAATGCTAAATAGTTCGCATAAGTGTATAGAAGACTTGGAGTAGTTTTCGATCGTGGTTGTCACCTCCTACGCTTTTTCACTAAAAACAAACTTTATTTTTTTATTGAACAATTCTGCTTACAAGAAACTAGATAAGATGCTACTCAATGAAAGTTTCTTAGAAAATAATTTTCTTGAATTCTAGTAAAATTTTCGCTTCGCACAATAGGTTTTCCAATAGATTTTTCCGTTAAAACACTTCCGCTTCATTTTGGCTTCCAATATGAAATGTGTTCTCCTTGACTTGAAATGCTATTGAATAACAGAAAATTTCTTTCGAGTTCTTGTTCATCTGCTAATATAATAGATGAAAGCGAAGTCATACTCCATCGCTGTATGCAAGAAATGATATTGTTCTTTTGGTTTTGTGAAAAGCAAGCATTCTTTTTGACAGTGTATGTTTTTCGGGCAAACCTTTTATCTTGTGTGCCAAAAGGGAATCATCCTTGGCGTGTATATGAAAGGTAAAATATATAAATTCTCATATTGCTGTGAAAACTAGGTTAAAATTTGTTTGATTCCACACTATTCGCATAAGCTTGCAAAGTCCTGTGTCAAAAAGGTGCTGCCTTCAGTGGCATATTCACTTCGTAAACTCGTGAACTGATAGTTTCAACACCGTCATTTCAGTATTACACAAAGGAATAATTTTGGGAAGATAAAAAAGATATCGAAAAAGCAACTTTCCGCTTTTTCCATTTTTGTTTTCGCTATTTTCCACTTTTTTGATCAGATGAGGTGGCAACCCTGTTTTCAATCATCATCCAATAGAAAATAAGCAGTAATCTTTATCTTTATCATAGCTGGCAGTCGTATGCTGGGGCATCACTTGTATAAAAAGATCATCGATTTTTTCAGAAATCTTAAAAAAATTTCACCTCATTCTGTAATTCTGTATTCTGACTCCATGTATTTCCTACCAACTGCTACCCATACAAAAACAGGAACAGGAACACATCACCATAAGATCCATTACGGCAGTTCTATCTAAAGTTCCTAATGAAAATAATTTTCATGACGGAAATTAGGTAATTCTCCATAACAGCCATTACGGAAATCATATTTATAGTACGGTATATTATCTCCAACAGCTGTGGCAAAAATGAATTTCCCGGAAAACGCTACAACGCATCAAATCACTATAGCTTCTGGATTGATACCATACGCCCATGCTAGCATGATATTTGCTTATCCATCTTCTTATTTAACCTAATGAATACTATACAGACTGAGGTTTTTGACTTTCAATGAATTCTGGCAATACTATATAAAAACATTCATACTATGTGATTGCGACTGTGAACAATCGCATCGAAAAGAGCATCTCATATCGCAAATTTAAAATAGCAGTCACAGAATAGTAGATTATAGATACATATTTGATAAACTATAAGCACCATTGACAGTTGACTAATAGCAAAGTATCGAATCACGATAAAAGGCTTCTGTAGACAAAAAGGAGAAAATGCTGAAATACGCTGAAAACTAGAGGTCCATGAAGAAAAAAAAATTATATGAATGCATACAGTATGTGATCGACGAAACTAATAAGCTTATTGCACTGATTATATAAAATACGAGCGCCATTTTTATTTTGTCCATAACAAAAGCAGTGAGACAACAATGGGTGACAATTTCATAAAAAAAGAGGTGGATGTAATGATGCCGACCAAGTATCGTCAAATAGAATGAACGACGAAACAGTATGACCATAGATTAGACGGTCGGCAGGAATTGAAAGAGAAAGTTGTAGACTGTGGAAAAGTAACCAACATACGTTAACGAGAGAATAAGAGAGCGATGAAAATGAATAAGTCAGGCAAGTTTCAGTCATATTCAACAAGAAAATATGCACTCAATAATAATGATAAACAAATTTGAATACATTCAAACGAAAAAGCACATCACTTGTGTTAACAAGGATGATGGCTTGTTTTATTTTCCTTACATGTGATATGAACCGTAAAAAAGTATTTTATTCAGCGTGAGATCGATGTAACAACATCTTGTCTTTTAGAAATAACGATTGAGACATGTCAGATGTGCATGTATTATGAAATCTAGTTCCAGAGGAAATGAATATATTTAAAAAACTGTCTCATTTGCGTCCAAATTATCTGATCAGAATTTTAATTCTAATAAATACAAAAAGGGAAGTCACACAAATGATAATACATATTCTATTTATTAACTCCAAAATTGTGAATTGAATTTTTTGGGGTGTCGGTGTGGGTGGGCGTTAGTGATGCTCATTAGATGATAATTAGCTACGCCGGCAAACCCACACCCACCCTCTGATACGATTATCTTCGACATGAAAAAAGAAAATAAGTTCCAAACTGATATGAGAACATTCCCAGATATCAATTTGCACTTTAGTAAGATCTTGGTACATTTTGTACATCCTAGTGCACTACGTCTATCATAAAAAAAATTCACGCTTTTGTTTCACTTCTAAAGAGATTAAACGTTTTTACTGTTGGAGCCATAAGAGTCGTCTTATCAGGAGAAAATAGCTATCACAGACTATATAATTTCAGACGACCTCAGAAAGATGGAGTTATTACCTTTACAAAATACAAACGTAGTTCTTGGTGTCATTAGTTATGGTTCGCCTTAGAATTACAAAATATCAGATTGAAACTTTTAGAATAGTGAACATTAATGTTGTAATAGAATTTTGCATACATCATAGTTGTCGCTGGTTACAATGATATACTTATTTTTCGCTTTATCCTAATGTTCACAAAGTGTGCCGTCAGCGTGTTGTACTGACAGTAGAAGGAAAAAAATTGTAACTGTGCCATACCTACAAAACGTCTCATTTAACAGATTCATTATCCACAACAGAACAATTGTCTCTGTACATTTTACCTTACAGTAATAGGACCGTTTCAGACGTCGCGATAAAACGAAAAATAGATATATTAGTATGACAAGTTACAATTATGATGCATTTGAAATTATATTACGACATTAATTCTCACTATTCTAAAAGTTTCATTCTTATAGCTCCAACAGTAAAAATGTTTGATCTCGTCAGAAACAGGCCATAAGCATGAACTCCTTTTATAATAGAAAAAGTTTACTATGATGTATAAAATGCACTAAGTCTCAGTTGAAAAGCAAATCGACGCTTGAGAATGTTCACTTTTAAGTCTGTAATCATTACTTTGAACTTATTTATTAAAATAGTTAGTATAATGTCTGTTCAAATTTATCAACTTTTTCACTTATATTTCTATTTCCTGGTTTTCAACAATAGCATGTTTGTCTGCTATTTTTATCTTTGATCATTTCAATCTCCCAACGTTGGTATTATTCAATGTATTTTCTGTCCACAGTTGTTTGATGAAATACTGAAAATGTTGTCAAGATTTAATCTTCATTCATTATTATTTTTATGATTTTAGGTAATTAAAAATCCCGTTGCAGCAGTGGTTCAGTTACCTGAAGCTTATCAAAATGGTTACTTAAACCATCAAGAATATTTCAAGCAATTAAAAGAAATTGCTGAAAAACAAATAAAATAAACATGCTATATTATGAACTTAAGTTAATGACAAGCTTTTGTTTTATTTTCACTACGCTTATGTTTCTTTTTCTTTCTATTATCTCATTATGTTCATGTTTCTTTTTTTCCATTATATTCGTTATGTTTCTTTCTTTCGGTTACGTCATATGGAATATTGTTTACTAAAAGAAAGAGAACTTATTCACTGATGGAAAATAAAAAATTTTATTTACATTTAATAATTTTTTTGCTTATAAGATAAGTCGAATGAGATCTATGAAAGAAAATTAAAAAGTATTCTATTATTTCCCAATAGTTTAAGCTTTTTTGTTATAATTTTACTTGCTTGAAAATATTTTCTAAAAAGAAATTCTATCCTAATAAA